GGGGGGTGAACTGCTTTCTTAAAACATTTTTATAACTTTAAAGCACGTTAGCTTATTATTCTCCTTTCGAAGCTAAAAAGTATAATACGAGGTCTCCAAAGTTGTTGCCTACAACTTCTCTGGTTTTCTTTTTTAATATTCCTTATCAGAGAGGTTTTGAATAGTATTTATTGCCTCTTTAACTATTGCCTTTTTGTTCCCTACAGAACATGACCCGCTTCTGTGGCGACAAAAGAGCTGGCTTCCTGAAAGCTGTGGAGTGTGTAAAAAACGCAATGACCAAGTGCATGCAGTGGAGTGAGTATCTCCAAAATTGAGAAATTTTATAAATTTAGCGCCCTTTCCAAATTATGCGGATGGTTATTTAAGGGGCAGGACCTCCGAATGTAACGCCAATCTCTTACAGCATCAAGCCAGCCAGGTGGGAAAATGTGTGTGAATTGCCTCTCCCTAGGACACAACACTGCCCAATGTGGGCCTCAAAACCTGGACACCTCGAGCCTGCAATCTCACGATTATTAATAGCCTAACCTTTGGACCATCGACGCCACGAGTGTGTCCTCTTGGCGATATCATTTTTTAAAACTAGATTTATTTTTGGTTCGTCTTTTGGAGGTATTATTGTTACTGACTTTCTTTCCTTCAGTGAGCTTTTCGATGTCGGAATCCGACTGTTACGCATAGGTTCAACGTCACTTTCAACACTCTAGGGTCCTTCAATGAAAGTAGTGCCCCTTTTAACACCGTAAGGCTATTCATGGGGCGGGACCTCCGAATGTAACGTCAATCTCCGTCAAGACCCAGCCATATTGGAGGAGAGCCACAAAAAAACTCCCCGAAAAATTCCAAATTCAAATTGTCCCTTTGGGGAATCGAGGCAGGATCGTTCGCTTCGTAGTCCAGCATTAATCCAACCAGGTTAAAGATGAACCGCTCCTCTATTAGAAGAGTGTGAATGTAGTGAGGAAATACGACATTTCCTATTGTATGTCGCACAGCTTTTACATGGTATTGAGCTCTGTTCGTTTTTTACTGCTGAGCTGTATAGTTTTTTGTTTATCAGCAGTCATTTTTCAAGGAACTTGATCTAGAGTTAGATCCATTTCTGTATTCTCAACTATGTAATTGCGTTATCAACGACAGTGTAACAGAATTAATCATACTTGACAGTTATCGCTAGACACTGACAGACAAATTCTTCTTCTTCTTCTTCTTCTTCTTCTTCTTCTTCTTCTTCTTCTTTTTCTTCTTCTTCTTCTTCTTCTTCTTCTTCTT